CTTCTAGAAAACAACAAATAGTTTGCTAATATAAAAAGTTGCTTCATCTTTATTTAAGTTTATAATATATTGAGTATTCAAATTTCGAATGTCATAAAGCTGGAGAAGTCACGATTAATCGATGGTTTGAACGACATGGACAGATCCTATGGAGGTTTATCATGATTCATCAAGGCCTACATATGAGAAAATATTAGCTTAGACGACGCAGACAGTCTGACATGTTCCCTTTAAGTGTTACTAGAAAAGTTTGATCCTGTTGCAATGTGAAACGATATCTTCTAAAGAAAATTCATAGACATATGTTGATAATAAATGAGTTGTGTGCACATTAAAATAAAGGCAACTATGAATTTCGTAATCACTTTCAATCTCGTCCTGGGACTAAAATCTTATAGTCACCTTTAGTTATTTAAAATTCTCATACGGTTTGTTAAAAACATTATTTATCTGACATAATTATTTGTATGAATAAACGCATAGTTCTCAGTCAAATGCGACAATGTAAAAAAAAGCACACGTTTATTTGCAGAAAAATTTTCAGATCATTTACTTGCAAAATATTTTTTGATTCGTTATACCTCACGCATGAGTATCTAAGTTATTTCACATATTTACAATTTTTGAGCATAAATACAAGCCAATGGAATATGCAGAAAAAAAAATATCCTATTGAAGCATTAGATGCATCAAAACAAATTTGATAACCATAAGAATAATTTTTCGGACGATCACTATATAATAATTTTCTTCTTACTTTTTTGCAGAGAGAGGGAGAGAGTTCATGAGAAGACTAAGATACTGATCGAAATTTTAATTTTGGATCTCTTTTTGTGCATTCTCAAGGCCATTATCTAAAATTGCTAAACTCAAGTCTTTAGCTAATTAAGATGTTCTGCAGTAGATATATTATGATAAGATTTTCTTGTGATTCAACAAAGAAAGCTCATTACTGTTATAAAATGTTATATTATTCTCGATGATAGACTATGAGTTTAGATTTTTTTCAATAGAAGAAAAAAAAATAAAGACATATTATTCATATTTTTATCTTTTTCAAAAAAATTGATCTCATACCAATCTACCATGTTGAACAAGAGCAAACCATCGATTACGCCTATTACATCAATAGTTGCCTAGAATTCGTTAAAAAGAAAATTCGGACACAAATATCAAAATCTGGCATAGATTTCATATAACTTCATCGCAACGACGCCAAACTATACATGTTCATAAAGATTTTTCGAACTATTTTGAATCGGAAGAGATCAAAATTATCCGACAACCATCGAATTCTCTGGAATTGGAATCATATGATTTTTAATTATTTGATCTAATCAAACAGACTAGAAGTGATCAAAGTAACTCACAACCGTTGCACCTTGTCATAACTAAAATGATGATAAAAAGAAATTTCCGATAAATGGCTTGAACGAATGCAATTATGTATAAACAACCAAGAGATCTAAATAAAATTATGAATAACTTGTCTCTATGTTTTCTTTTCCTTTAAAATCTCATTACTTTTGATATGGTAGTCATGAAACAAATATAATAATATGAAATGTATTTTAATAATGCTGATTATTCTTATGAACTTCATTTGTATTTACCTAAAAGCAGCATCTTTCATCTGGTTAAGTTAGTTATTTATCTATCAAAGTTATTCATTCAAATAGGTTAATTTTCAGTCAGGTATGGACATAATGTATAAGGAGAATTTTAGCATCATGCGTTCTACACTTTCTGCCATGTTTCTAACAATTGATACAGGCTTAAATCGTTGCTGTTAATGGTTGATAAGTCACTTTTATTGTTTAACTTAAAATAACGTCACTTATAATTGTTACAACAATTAGCGTGACAACAAAGACTAATTAATTGTTCATCATCGGTTTTCTAAAGAATATTCAAGACTTTTGGGCTCAAAAAAATAACTAATCGAATTAGAGTAAAATAATTAAACTATAATTCGTATTTTCTTCTATGTTTTGGACATCATATCAATCTAACATACTTGCTGGGGAGTGACAATTTCTAAATAAAACCTTCTGAATTGATGAAAATTTTGTCCGAAATAAAACATGTAGAATGGTCTTGCACTCAGACTCGCCATATCTGTTTCACTCATTAGACTTCAAAATTCATACACAAGTGGTTATTTATTAAAAAACAAACAATGATTACATTTATAAAACCCATTAGTAACAGCATCAAATTTTAAACCCCTATTTTGGTAAGTATACAGGATGTCTCGCGAGTCATTATCAAAAGAAAAATTTGAATATCTTCCTTATGGCTGTATAGGATGAACTAGTTTTAGTACTGCTGAGATAGATTCAATATACGTTGAAGTCCTTTTCCGACTTTTGAAAAACAATTTGTAGGAGTTTTCTTATATTTATTCAATTCTTTTTTCATTATTATGAGTTTCTAAATGTCTAGATCAACTTCTTTTCCTTTATAAGCAGTTACTAGATACTTGTGAAAAAACTAGAGTGATTTGTTATTCTCGCATCAAAAAATTTGATAGAAGGGAAACAGAATCAAGCGACGCAGTTTTAGAATATGTACAGCTAGCAAATTTGAGGTCAATATGTGTGATTTTTTCAAGAAGTATCAAATGAATGTTTATAAAGAAGAAGAAGGAGAGCTAGATAATTGAAAACTCGCAATAAAGAAAAATATTAAAGAAATATAAGAGAAGCCTTACGCATTATTTTTCGAGAGTCAGGAAAAGACTTTGATATGTTTTGAACCTGGAAGTAATACTTTATAAGAATATTTAAAAAACTTTGGATATATGAATAAAAACTTGGAAGTGTCCTCTATTACTAGTATAAAAGTTAGTTCATTCGATAGAGCCATAAGGAAAATGATAATAATGATATGAGGTGAAACTATTTTAATGATAAATTTAAATATAATTGCGAAGATGGTGCGTATCATGTTTCGTTTAAAGCTAGTATTTATGATAAATTCCCATGTCCTATGAACTTGATTTGTTGTTAAAAAATTTACTGATTGGAGAATAGATTTTAATCTAAGAAACATGTGACTGGGGCAATACAAGAGAAAGTTGTTTGAAAAGTAAAAAAAATCACATTTCACCGACTGATGTTTACATCTTTTTTTGTACAACATTCAATGTGAAAAAAACTAAATTTTTTTTAAAAAAGCCTTTGAAAATCTCTAGACAAACAAACACATTGTTTTCTTTCTATTTTGATGTTTCTTTTTGCAGATGGACTGAAATATTAAAACAGATTCATCAGACAAATTTTAATTCTACAATAGACTTATTATCTCATTTGAATAGAATTCTTGTGCTTTCACGAAGCATATGATCATTATCTAGACATTATTTTAGTCTCAATTTCATGCAACTAAAATAAATTAATTAAAGAATAGAATTTTTTCAATGATATTTATTTATTTAAAATATAGTTTATAAAAGTTTGACATCTACTTGTAAATATAATATTTCCTTTTAAAAAGTTAAAAAAATCTAATAATCTTAAATTATATTTCATGCTTAGTCTATTGCAATTTTTCCGGCATATTTCTTTTTACTTTGTTACGCGACAATAAAAGTAAACAGTATTCAACCTTGATAGCTAAATACTACATATAGAATATCATGCAATAAAAATTTAGTTATAGACGAAACACACTACTGAATTTTTATTAAAGGTAATCGTTTGGTCGGTTGATTAATATAAACAGTATGAAATAGAAAAAACAGAAGTGTCCCTTTAGCCATCCACATTCCTTTTTCCGTAGCAAAACAGAACAGAAAAAAAAGGCAAAACACATATTCACCAAATGTTTTTATCTAATACGATGCATTCATTCATGCATTTATTTTTGTTTTTTTTTTCTCATTTTCACATTCATTTCACTAGATATCAGACTGAGTCTAGAGGTAAAAATGTATATTTCTTCAAATATGATAATTATTTTCTTTTCTTTTTACTTTTAAATTCAATAATATTTTCTTATTCTATCAATAGGATTATATCATAATCACTCGATTGATTATTGTCATCATAGTTATTTTGAAAAAAACATCCATTCTTCAAGATTTGGCTTGTTGATATCTATCAAAAGCATCATTAGCTTCAAAGGTGATATCACAAGAAGATGCAGAAACTAATATTATATATAGGTGAATCGTATTGAAGTTTCTTCAAATTAACTAAATATTAAAAAAATATCAGTTATAACTCACGATATTAAAAACGAAAGCTATACTTATAGTTAATTTTTTTCGTTCTGCCTAGTTCTATTGTATGTCAACCACATCGTATAGACCTGATCTCCAATTTCTATAGAGATTTTTTTTGAACTTTATTGTTTATTCGCAAACACTTGGATCTATCTTTTGTAGTGTATAACATATTTAGACTACACTAGAAACAAACCATAGTTAGAGGAAAGAATTCTATATTTTGAGCTAGTTTCCTTTCGCAACAATTTTGTAGTCCTTTTTACTTACAGTTAGATACTTCATTTTCGATATTGTATTTTATGTCAAAATGAAAAATGACATTCAAAGTAAGAAATTACAAAAACATACGAGAAATAAATTATCTTGTGAGCACTCTTTGAATAATATGGTTATCGGCTGCATATTAACTATTTACAAAAAATAGTATTTTATTTTTCTGAATAATATTGCTTATGTTTATTCGTGAAGATTTATATTAATTGACATATCTTTTGTATTTAGTTGATTTGAAGTAACTCTTCCACAGTTTTGTTTATTGAAGTTGTAACTTTATCGACCGGTGTAACTTCAATACGACAAATATACATAATTAAAAACAGATTTTTTTATTTTTATAGTATTTTAAAAAACAATCAAATATTCTTTTTTTCCGAATGATGAATCGTTTCCAGCTGAAGCCTTCACAGAGCTTCTCGTAAAGTCATTATTCTTTTTTTCTGCCTATTGCAATTATCTTTAGAACATTAGAATTTCATTAAATTTCCATCATATGTCTCAATCATGTTCGATAATCAACTGCATCCTAACATCACGTGGGCTATGTGATTGTTGTCAGCAATATCTTTGTTTAAAACATTTGATTGAACATAATGCTTCACTCATTACTCAACTTAGCCCTTTAACTGATGAAATAATTGCACTTGAAGATCGTCTCAAAACACTAAACATTCAAAAAATAATTGACAATAGTTGTGAGAAACTTGAAGAATGGCGTCAAGCTTGTCATAAGAAGATTGATTCTTATTTTGAACAAAAATGTGAAGAAATTAATCAATTTGTTAATGAAAGAGTTAATCAACAACAAGAAGAACTCAATCGACTACAATTGAAGATAACTAAACTCATCAATGTACAAGAAACAACTCGTCTAGACATTGGCTTATTGACATCAACTATTCATCAACTCGAAAGAAATATAAATAATATCGACCAGACACATTTTACGATCAATACGTGTCCATTAGTAATAGATGATACCCTCGTTCATATCAAGAAAACGGCTGAACATGAACTTGATCTATCCACTCTTTCATCTGTCTATAGAACAATTCATCGTCCAGAGGGAAGTTTCCGACCATTTACTGTTAATGATCGATACTTCTTGATACATCAACATCCAAATATATGTTTATTTGATCAAGAAATGAACATAGTCAACCAAACATTATGGTCTTACGGTGGAATTCTAGATATATATTGGTCATCTACATTAGATCGATTCATTGTAATTGGAGAAAAGAACATGTTCCTCATTAACGAAAATACAATGTTAATTAATAGTGTACATACAATTGCAGAACAAAACTGGAAATCGTGTACATGTTCTGATACAATTCTCTTTGCAAGCACAACGGAATGGGGTTCATCTATTATGGAGTTTACACTATTTCCAGTGATCGAATTGATTAGAGAACGGAAATGTCCTCTTACATGTGGTAAAGGTGAAATTATTCATAATATTGCTTACCATAATGGAAACCTAGCTCTAATCGTTAAGGACAAATTTGACACATCGTCACGCATTGAATTAAGATGTGTAAACACGTTCGATCGCATCTGGACACTTCAGTTTGATATTATGTCTGTCCGAAAAAAAGTATTTCGTTGTTCTTCACTACCATGTAATGAATGGCTTATTGTCGACTGTGAAATTGGACGCCTACTTCAGGTTACAAAAGACGGAAAAATAAAGAAAATTATTCAATATCATCCAAGTCCCTGCTATGCTATTTTGTTCGATCGAAATAAGCTAGCTGTATCTACTGCGAATGACATAAATCTTCATACAATTCAATCAAATGAATGATTACTTTTGTTTAGTACGTTGCTTTACTTTTCGATGAAGAACTTGAATTAAAAATAATTAAACGCATATATTCGAAATATTGTTTAAGATAAATTTAATAGCTTATGAATAAACAAAGAAAGCGTTTTATTTTCGTGCATGATTGAAACAGGATGATCACCTCCTCATGTCAGAAATTCAGAAACAATGCAGAAAACTGTCCTTTGTAGACTCTTCATATTTCAATGGGTTTAAATAACTTGTTGATTCTTTCCAAGGCATTCTTTTATTCTCAAAGTTCCAAAACATAACGAAGATGAACATTTTATTAAGTGCATCATATATTGAATGCAATCTAGTGTTTCAACAAATTCTGTATTTCTACAGCCTTTGAGTCTACTGGCATTGAACTACAAAGATCATTGGACGAAGGTTTCAGATCAGAAAAAAAATTGTCATTGTAACCTCATAAGGTGCTAAAGCATGGAATTCACAAACTTTTACTGTTATAAATTTATGATATGTTGTCAAAGGTTTTCAAAAAATTTATTTTAAAAAGATTATCAAATTAGCGAATAAATCGAAATTATAACATGTCAGATATATCTCTCATTTTAATGATTTAGAATATTAACTCGAAAATTCAGTGATATTTTATCTCAAAACAACTCATAATAGTAAGAAACTTTTAGTTTTTTATAGATTGATTATTTTTGACTCATTGTGTAACGCAACAGTGGAATGAGTTCATTTGAATTTACACAAAACAGTATTATATTGAGCACATACATTATGTATTTCCATGGTTGACTCAATATCGACTCTACTAGGTTAGTACCAGGAGGGTACAGGATTAATAATAGCAAGAGACGATGAATACAAAGTTCTTGATGTACAACGTCAAATGTAAACGATATTGGCAAGAAAACTTTTACGATATGGATTGACTGTAGATCATTATTTCCCACAGATTGTGATTTTCCGAATCAATTCCTAAATCGGGTCCATATTTGTGGACTTTCAAACAATTATGATCAATTCTGATGACCAAGTAGGAACTTTAATTTAGGGACTGGAGGACTTTTATTCAGGAGCTTTTTAATATAGGAAATATCAAAGCTCTGTTGTATATATTATGTGAAAACGTTCCTAAATTAAAGTTTCTACTTGGTCACTAGAATGGATCATAATTGTTTGAAAGTCCACGAATTTGAACCCGATTTAGGAATTGATTCAAGAAACCACAATTTGTGGGAAATGATAGTCATTCGGTGTTTTAGAATTAGTCATAGCAGGTCGTGAAAGTAAAATATCATGTTAACTATCAAGATAAAAAAAACGTTTGTCTGTTGAAGAAAAGAAACAGGATTACTTTTCTATTTGCATAACAAAGGTAAAAGTCTTTTTTTCCATTTTCTATTCAATGAATGGGTGTCTTAAAAATAGTGACTCTACAAGAATCACTATGTGTATCTGAACTGCACGCAACTATTCGTCTAGAAATAGAATACTCATAGAATATGATTGTCAAATTGCTCGATCTTGAAGTTTCAAGAGGTTTTTCAAGATGTTTTATTTTTGTTGGCTTTTCATTTTTCCAAAATCCTTCTAGGAAAAGGTTCGATACAAAACTTGTACTTGTGACATCGCTCAACATATGTCAACTAATGGATGATAATAAAGTATTTATAGTCAGTTTTTCATTTTAAAAAGATTGGTATCATTTTTGATCATTAACTACAGATTAAGTTATTCTATTGTTACTTCTAGTTAGGTTCTTTAGTTTTAATCTTGCATTTTATGCCAAAATGAAAACTTTCATTCACAGGAAAAAATATTGTGAGAATTTTTCTAATTATGTGGTTATATACTGTTTAAATCAGGGAATACTATTATTCTAGAGTCCTCTTCTCGTTCGTTTGAGGCTTTAGTATTGTCAAAATAGGTTTATTATCATATAGAAGTATTAACAAAAAACAATATACTAAATCTTTCAAAATACTTCTTCCTATCTTTACTCGTATAGATTGATATTATTGTCTTTAAAATGGAAAAGTAACTATAAGTATACATTTTGCTTTTATCATTATTAATCAATTAATATTTGTATAGTAATTAGTCGATTTAAAGTGACATTGACAAATGTTATTGTTAAAGTAGCAATTTCCTAGACTGGTGTAACTTCGATATAAATATATAGTTACAGATTTTTGTCATATTTTCAGCATAAATGAATATTCTATTTTCAAACAAATAGTCACCTTCAAATCGACAACTGGTATGTTTATTGACTGTAAAATGGAAAAAAACGATACAACTTTCGTTATACGAATTCAAATGCAACCGGTTTTCTTTCGTTCGACTAATAAACATTTTTCTTATCTTGAAAGTTAACATGATATTTCATTGTGTCTTCCTACTATGACTAATTCTAGAACATCAAAGTTTTATTATTTTCATCAAATATCTCAATCATGTTCGATAAACAAGTGTACACAGACATAACGTGAATTATGTGATTGTTGCCAACAAAACCATTGTTGACCACATTTAAATGAACATAATGCTTCACTCATTACTCAATTGAATCTTTTAACTGACGAAATCAATATACTTGAGGATCGTCTCGAAACACTAAATATTCAAAAGATAATCGATAGTGGACGTGAAAAACTCCAATAATGGCGTTAAGATTGTTATAAGAAGATAGATTTTGTTTTTGAACAAAAATGTCAAGAACTTGATCGTTTTGTTAATGAAAGGGTTGGCCAACAACGACAAGAACTCAATCGAATACAATTGAAGATAACTAAACTCATCCAATGCCCAAGAAACAACTCGTCACGATATTGATTTGTTGACATCAACTATTTGTCACATCGAAAGAAATTTTTAAGAACATTGAAGAAAAATGTTTTAAGATCGATACTCGTCCATTGATAATAGATAGCACATTGGTTTCTATAGAGAAAACAATTGAACATGGACTTGATCTATTAACTCTTTCACCTGTCTATAGAACAATTAATTATCCGAAGGGAAGTTTTATATCACTAGCTGGCAATGATCGATGTTTATTGATTCATCAACATCCAAATTTATGCTTGCTTGATCGAGAAATGAACATAGTCAAACAAACATTATGGTCGTATACTGAAATTTGGGATATGTGTTGGTCGTCAATATTAGATCGATTTATTGTACTTGGAAAAAATAACATTTATCTTATTAACGACAATACAATGTCAATTGACGACGTGCACAAAATCAAAGGACGAGTCTGGGTATCGTATACATGCTCTGAAATAGCCCTCTTTGCAAGTACAAATGAACGTGCGTCATCGATTATGGAATTCGCATTATTACCAGCAATCAAATTGACTAGAGAATGAAAATATCCTGTCACGCGCACCAAAGATGAATTTATCACTGATATTGTTTACAATAACGGGAATCTTGCTCTACTAGTTATAAATATATTCAATAAATCACTACATATGGAATTGAGATATACAGAGGCACTCAACTGCATCTGGTCACTTCAACTTGATATAACGTGTGTCCAAAAAATAGCACCTCGTTGTTGTTCATTTCCTTGTAATGAATGGCTCACTGTCGATTATGAGACTGGGCGTCTACTTCAAATTGCAAAAGACGGAGAAATAAAGAGAACAATTGAATATCACCCAACTGCTGGTCGAACTATTCTGTTCGACATAAATAAGCTAACAGTATCAACTGCCGATGATGTAAATTTACATGTAATTTTATGAAATATATGACTACTTTCATTTATACTGTTACTTTTCTTTTACGATGAAGAACTTGAATTAAAAACAAGTAACCGCATATTGTTGAAGTATAGTTTACAGTCGGTTAAATCATCGAAATCAATCGAGATAGAGAACTTTTTTGTTTTGTTATATACAAATAAAAGATTAAAAACAGTTGATAAATAAAGATACAAAGAGTTATATTTTCGTAAATATTTTAATTGTAAATCTGAGATAGTGATGCTAAGAAAAAATACCATTTTTATAAGTCATACGACTTCTAATAATAATAATAGGTGATGATAAATCCAAAATTCTTTATCTAAACTTTTGGACGTAAACGACATTAAACTTTCTCCTCACAATAGATTGATTACTTAGAATGATCCATTTGGACTGAAATTTCTATGAACGATTGACTCTGAAGAGAAACACTCCTTGACTCCAAATTGAAGTCCATATCTGTGTGCAGTTTTTATCCGAACAGTACTTTAAACTCCGCTACGATTCATTTTCTATGATAATTTTAGTACATACGGTATTAAAATAAACAAAAAGTTTGTCACTTCATAACATAAAATCTCGCTTGTCTCAACACAGAAATCAGATAGAAAATATATGATCTGAATGAAGTTTACTCTCATTTACATTTTCAAAACAAAAAAACTATTGGTTATATCTTAAACCGGGTAGAAGTGGATGTGAATAAAAAGAAAATCTACCCAAAATTAAAAAATTGAAAAAGAACTGCGAAGATTTCTCAGAAAACACAATACCAGGGTAGAAGTTTTTCCTGAATATTTGTTTAAGTTTGGCCTTTTTTTTCTCGACAAGTCCCATCTGCTCTGAAAGAGAAAATTTTGCTGCATCTTTCTATCAGAAAGACCCAACTTCTATTTTGGTTTCAAAAAATATGAGTTTTCTCAATGGTGAACGCTCTTAAAAACAAAATTTTTAGATATAGTAAATTGAAATTATAACTCATTGTTTGTTCTTTCTCTGAACAGAACAAGATTCTAAATACTCTCTTATAAGAACTATAATTGCAATAGAAATAATTAATAGCGTATGTCAGAATACTTTTTTTTTCAGTCATAACAAAGTTTTCATAGGAAGTCTAACGACTAAATATTGAATTGAAATCTTTTATTGAAATAAACGTCATACATATCACATCGTCATAGTTATATATATTTTACTTGAGAATCAATGACTGAATAGCTCTCTCTGATGAGAATTTGTTTCTCCAATGAAAAAATATCAAACAAAATTAATTATTTTTAGATAAGATAGATATAATTACGGTATGGTTATCTATCGATCACCTAGACTTGAAGATGGTTAAGACTTAAAAATTAAGAAAGTCAAGTCTACCATTGGAAAAACAATGATCGATAGCATATGAAATAGAACCGTTTCTATTCCTGAGCAGTATCGAGTCTTTTAAATATGCGAAAACCTTCTTACTGTAAATAATTCGAAAATTTATGTAAAAGATAGCAGTGGAATATGTCATCAAACATGGATTGATAAACACAAAAAAATTCCTTAATTAGGTTTTAATTGATTTGTGTCTCCAAATAGAAATCATCGCATTTCATTTGTATTCGAATTTTGTTGTGTTTTCAGATCATTAAACATTTTGCATAGGTTTTGTTAATAAGTTTGCACATATTTTCTAATTAGCATTAAATTCTGAACAAAAAATTGCTTATTTAGCTTTTCAAAGAATTCTGCTGAATTTTCATAAGCAAACAATTTAAAAAAAAATAAATACACTGTTGTGATTACATTTAGAAAAATCCATCAAAAACAGAATCAAATTCTACACGTATATCTCGATAAGTGCAGAAAGTATTCAAAAAGTCACTAAACAAAAAAGAATTCGAATTTCTCTCTTATGGTTCAAGCATGTCTGAGATAAATATGTCTGAGTTTTTCAGGACGTACCAAATGAACGGTTATAAATGAAGAAAAAGAGACATAGAAAGTTGGAAACTCGTAATAATAAAAAACATTAAAGAAATAAAAGAAATACTCGACGTATTGTTTTTCGAAAGTCGAAAAGAAACTTTAATGAGAAGAAAGACCTCTTTTTGAAACAAATTCTCAGATTGTTTCTTTTTTTTCAAAATCGCAAGAAAAATGCTCTTTTATTGTGAATACTTCAAACTTTTGTTTGTTCTTTTGAAACATTGTTGAATGAATCATTAATCAATAAGAATAATGATTCATATGATTGTTTTATTGACCGTTGTTACTTATCATAGAGCTCTAATAGTCATTAAAATTGAGTTTTTTTTCAAGATTTTCATGGTTATCTGTATAGATACATGATTTAATTACCAATGAAAACTATGTTTTCTTTTTATTTCGAAATTTCTTTTTGCCGATGAATCAGAATATCAAAATACAATCGTCATACAAATCTTAGCTGTATGATAGACTTATTCCTCATGTTTGAATAAAATTTCTGTACTCTCATAAAATATATGATCATTATCTAGAAATCATTTTAATCTTAATTTATTGTATCTAAAATAAATTAATTAAAGTAGAAAATTTTTGAATGATATTTATTTATTTAAAATATATTTCATATTGATTACAAATAAATCTTACTAATAACAAGATTCAATCTTTTGTTAAGTGCATAGAAATATAAAAGATTGACATGTACTTGTAAATATAATATTTCTTTTTAAAAACGTTAAAAAAATCGAATTGTCTTACATTACACTTTATGTTTAGTCTATTAAACTTTTTCATGTAATATTTGTTACATAGTAAAAGTTTAGTTATATACGAAATAAACTATCAATTGCCGATTGAAGATGATTGTTCTATCTATTGATTTAAATAAACAATATGACATGAAAGACAATGGACAAGTGTAACTGTAGTCATTCATATCTTCTTTTTTATATAACAAAACAGAACAGAAAAAAAAAAGACAAAATACACATTCATCAAATAATGTTAAAATAAAACAATGCATTCATTCATGCATTTTTTTTTCTTGTTTTCTCATTTTCACATACATTATAGTGCATGTCAAACTGATTCAAGGGGTAAATAAAATCATATTTATTCGAATATGATCATTATTTTATTTTTTTTTTAGTTTAAAATTCAATTAAATTTTCTTATTCTATCACTAGTATTATATCATAATCGATTGATTATCGTTATTATAGTTATTCTGAAAAGACATCTATTCTTCAAGCTTTAGCATTCTCATATTCAACAAAATCATCATCAGCTGCAATAGAGAATTCACAATGAAGCATGCAAATTAAAAGTATATAAATATATGAGTCACTTGCAGTTAAACGGGATAAAGCAACCTTTTTTTTTTACTTTGATTCTTTATAAAGATTATTTTTTCTGAATTATTTCTATTAGTTTAGATATGTGTACAAATGTTGGCTCTTTCAGCTGACTATTAGGTACAGTAGTTCGTTATTTAATTAATGAATTGAAAAGTAATCGGCGAATAACTCTGTACACATAGGAGGAAAAAATTTCATCCATTTATCTAGAGACTCTGAAGAAGGGTTTTTATGTTGTAGAATTGGTTTTGAACTTCTCATTCGGTTAGAAGAGAATATTTTTCGTTTGTATATTTGTACCCCGTCACGTTTATAAAGAAAAGTTAATCGATTTTTTTGAAAAAACCTAGGTACAATCAAAAAAAGTTTTATATACAGAATGTACTATTTATTTCTCAAAAGTACTACCTCAAGTCGGAATTATTCTCAATTAATATACGTGACATGAATGATGATGTTCTTTTTTATGTCACGTCGATATAGAATTTCAAGGTCACTTGACATACATGTAGCAAATAAAAATTATCTTTACGAAAGTCCATTATTCGAAGATACATGTATTCTCATTTTGCGAAATTCTGTCGCTAACGAATGCTCGATCTAAATATAGCATATCACAGCTATAGATTCGTCGTGTAATAGTATAAAAGTTACATCATATGAACTAAATACTCAAAAAATATCAATGATAATTCACGATGTTAAAAACGAAACATATACCTATAGTTTATTTTTTCGTTTTGCGTATTTTCATTAGATTTCAACCACATGTACAAAAATGATATTCGATTCAGATAAAATTTTCAGATCTATAGAGCTTTTAAGTTTGACCATTTTGATAAAAAGTCTCTTTAAAGAACACAGTTTTCTCCCACTTGACTAGGTAGTTTTGTACATCACAACAAGCTCACAAATAAAATGGAAGATCATATTCGAATTCGTCGAGACAAATCTCATCTGCTTATACTAAACTTGTCATAGTTGAGAATAAAAACGCCAGTTCCGAATGTGGTTTAAGATGTCACCGACCAAAAGAAATAATAGTGGTTTCTGGCGCCCACGATTATTCCGAATGTTGTTAATTGGGATTTCACTAGATATTCGTTGAAGAAATGCTACCAACTTTCAAGTCGGTTTCGTACAATGAAAGGTCCAGTAAAACCTGAACTGGAGCAAATGTAAAGACTTCATTATTTTGTGACCCTCTTTAATCAACAAAAATGAATGTGTTTAGTATTTTAATATCATCCCAGAAATGACTGGATGGTTTTAGTTCGGAAACATCTCATTAGACAAAAAACCGGTATGGAGCACAAATTCATTCTATCTAAATGATCAACATAAAAAGTCGACTAAACTATTTAACCTGACAACTGTCGAAAATTCGAAAATGCACCTTCTTGTAAAGCAAGTGATACTATAGTTTTTTTTTTCACCAGATCTAGGTTGAGTATAGACGCATCCTTTAATATTGAATTATCCAGTGCAAATAACTTGGAAACCTACTTTTCAACAATTATGATGTGGTCTACACTAATTACTGTACAAAATCTATGTCTTGTAGAAAAAGAACTAGTATATTATTTGCTTCACAAGAAGAGTGCACTTTCAAGCTTTCTACAGTTTTTCAGTTAGAAAGTTTTGTCGAGTTTGTATAATGAGCATTGAAATAGAATGAATTGATACTGTATACTGATTTTTATCTAATGGACTCTTTTCGAATGCAAACCATCCAGTTTTTATGTTTATTCGTAAAAAAATGATATAAGTATTTTACTTTGTTTTTAATATCACCTCTTAATTCATATTTTATTTAATATGAAGTCGGTTTGAAGTAATTTCGATACGATATGTGCACGTCGTCTATAGTGTTACACATAATTTGAAAAATTCTTTTTTTTTTATCATATATTCCAAAGAAAAAGATGAATACTGTGTTTGCGGACGAACGGTCACTTTTAGAAGAAGTATTCATAGTTAATCTTATACAATGACTATTCTCACGATATCTGTTGATTGAATTTAAAGTTGAAAAAATAACATGATATTTTATTTCTTTTTCTAACTGCAATTATTTTCAGAGTATCAGAATTTTATTATTTTCATCAAATGTCTCAAACATGCTCGATGGAAAAATGCACACGTGTATCACGTTGGTTATGTGATTGTTGCGAAAAACACATGTGTTTACAACATTTAAATGACCATAATATTGCACTCATTTCTCAATTGAATCCTTTAACTGATGAAATCAATGCACTTGGAGATCGTCTCGAGGCGCTGGGTATTCACGAAGCGGTTGCGTACAGTCGTCAAAAACTTGAACAGTGGCGTCAAGATTGTTATAAGAAGATTGATTCTTATTTTGAACAAAAATGTCAAGAACTTGATCAAGTTGTTCATGAAATAGTTGGCCAACAACGAGAAAAAATGAATCACTTACAATTGAATATAACTGAACTCATCAATGCACAAGAAACAACTCGTCAAGATATCGATTCCTTAACATCAACTATTCGCCAACTCGAAACAAATATGAAAATCATCGAACAAACATGTCTTACAATTAATACTCGTCCATTATTAATAGATGACACGATCATTTCTATAGAGACAACGACGGAACATGAACTTAATCTATCAACTATTTCACCTGTCTTCAGAACGATTCATCGCCCAAAAGGAAGTTTTCGACCATTTACTGTGAATGATCGATACTTATTGATGCATCAAGAGCCCAATTTATGTTTATTTGATCGTACCCTGAACATAGCCAAACAAATTACATGGTCATATGATGCAATTCAGGACATGTGTTGGTCATCAACATTGAATCGATTCATTGTACTTGGAAAAAATAACATCCTTCTCATTAACGAAAATACAATGGCAGTTGATAATGTGTACACGATCAAAGAACGACAGTGGCTATCGGGTACATGCTCCGACAAAGTTCTCTTTGCAAGTACAAATGGACGTGCATCATCTATTATGGAGTTCGCACTATTGCCAACAGTCAAGTTGATTAAAGAATGGAAATATCCTCTTACATGTAGTAAAGATGAATTTATTGTTAGTACTGCTTACAATAACGGAAATCTTGCTCTGATGGTTGTAAATGTATTGAATAAATTGCTACGCATGGAATTGAGATATACAAAGACGCTCGATCCTATATGGTCATTTCAAATTAATATTACTTGGATTCACAAACTAGCATTTCGTTGTTGTTCACTTCCTTGTAATGAATGGCTCATAGTCGATTATGAGACTGGACGTCTACTTCAGATTACAAAAGATGGAAAAGTAAAGAACACAATTAAATATCAACCGACTCCCTGTCGTGCTATTCTATTCGACATAAATACTCTAGCAGTATCAACTATCGATGACGTCAATCTGCATACAATTCAGTAAAATGAATATTTACTTACGTTTAATTTTTGCTTTACTTTTTCGACGACGAACTCGAATTAAACATTGATTAATCGCATATTGTTAAAATGTAATGCATAGTTGATTAGTTCATCAAGATTGCTTTAGCTGAAAGTTTTTCATTTTATTATATGTAAATCAAAGATCAAATCTATTTGACCAAATATATTAAGAAAAAGTCTAAGAAATTATAAATGATCAACTCGATTAAATTTTTTGAAGGGATGTACTCCCTGGTGATATTAAGGCATTACTCATATATTATGAAGAATTCTTGATATCTTCTCATATTTTCAACTATTGTGTACTTTTTGCAGATTATTGTGTATTTTTTCTTATGTAATGTCAAGTATAAAGGATTCGAACTTAGTGTGTGCATATTCTTGATTAGGTCATGACACTCTTTCTAATCATATATAAAAAAAAAGGAAAAAAATTCTGCTTTAATTATGCATTTTCGGCACTTTACTTTTTGGAACTAAATTGACATTATCACTATTTAATAAGTTCTCCTTTCTATGAGCAATATAAGATTCTGAAAAAAAAACTTTTTCAACCATAACAATGTATTTGTAGAAAGTCCAATGATTAAATGTTGACTTGAAATCTATTGCTAATATTAATATAATTATAACATCCATATGACAAAAAACGTTAATTTACTGATACATTTCTTTGAATCAGTCAATAATTAAAACATATTTGACAAATGTTTAAAATATTTTCCAGTGAATTTAAGAGCTCTAAAAGACTGCATCTATTTAGAATTGGTTGCTTAGAATGTAACGGTTATTTACAAAGAATGAATTCATCTAAGTTAATATTCAAAATGATAGATTTATCATGTTTATTCTTGAATTGTATAATTATTGGGTTAAATTCAATTTCAATTGAATAAGCAAATATTCTTTTCATCGTTCTTATTATCATCGAACTGTTATTTATTGTTATTAAATGGTTATTCCTGCTTTGAAAATTATTGGTAGTAAAAGAAATAAGAACAAAAACTTGATTAATAATATGACAATTGTAATTAGAAATAGAAAGTTCTCTCTTGGATAAAAATCATTTTTTAGTCACTTAATTAATTCTCATTATCGTCTTAGTTATAATCTTAGTCAATAGCAAAAATTAATTTTTTGCTAGAATTTGATATCAGAGTGATTGATAAAGAAAAAATAGCGATAACAAATTTATATAAAACATGTGATATATTATTCATCTTCAGACCTTGAAATCTACTACAGACAAAGATCAGTTGTTTTTTTTCAATTTTTCTTTCTCTTGTATTATTGTACATACACTTGAATGTCATTGTACAGGTACTCAGGTCGACAATATTTGTACTGTATACATGTAAACATTTTATTCACCTTTTATTTTGTTTTGTTATACATTTTAGTGATATTGAGAGAACAAAAACAGTAATGTAAAGAAGAACAATATTCTATTTGATCATTTTCAGTTGTAAAATGTAGGTGTACCTAAACATCTCTTAATATTTTCCTATTGCAACTTATTATTGAATATGTAATAGATTTTTAAAAAGGAAATATTCAACTAATATCTATAATTATATCAAGAATTCATACAGCTAAAATTTCAAGAGGTTAACATCATCAGTCAACGAAATTTTTTCTAAAAGATTGATGGCAAATGAGCTAGAATTTATGAGGATCTTCGAATTGAGTTGATATTCGCTCACTTTTTATTGTTTAGACTTCTTTTCGGCATTAAAAGATGTGCAATGAAACTCTTAACGAATCAATTCAAAAGCGACTCCAGCTCAACTTCATAGATAGAACGATGCACAGATAATCATAGGCATCATCAATATGACGACAGAATACAAGTTTTAACTTAACTAATTAGGTAAAAGAATAAGAGGCTAACAGGTGTTGCTTGTTTCATTCAGATAAAGAAAGATATACTTGATGTCTAAGATTTTCCTGGAAAATGTCATTCCTGTCTCTTTGAAATATATAGAAAATAATTTTTCAAGGAATAACTTATGGTATAGTTATATGCAGGACTTAGTGTGTGTCACGATATTTCTATTCAAAAAAAAAAGAAATGACTTATTTGTGATTTTGGTTGAAATTGGAGAATTTTTCTAATATTATTTAACTATAGTGATTTTTTTCAGCACATATATATCTCATACAGTCGCATCTTTCGATATATAATTGTCCAGTGTAAATAACATAGGAATTAAGATAGCATCAATTACAACGAGATGTCTCGAAAATACGATGATTTTCACGCAAATTCCTTTTTTTTATTAACGCATCTTATGTCATATCGAAGTTAAAACTTCAATTCAACTAAATATCAATAAATGAAGACGTAGAACAAGTTATTCAAAAAAGCGAAACATTACTTTTGCTTAGTATTTTCTAGGATTTTAGACGTATTTTGACGACATGAAGGTCTATAACTGATGATAAGAGATCTCTAGAACAATATACTCAGACTTAGATAGCATATTATCACAATCAATCAAATACGGAGTTTCCTAACTGGATTTTTGAATATTATGTTTTAGTATAATCTAAATTTTTACAACAGCAAAATGCAAGAAAATGATGGAAAAATTAGCAAATGGATTGAAGCAAGTGATTGATCAACGTGAAGAGTAGATAAATACATATTGACGGACGTTTTTTTTACGTTTGAAGAATTTCGATTTGTAAATCACGCTCAAACTATTTTCTTTTTATTTAACTTTCCTAATAAAACAGCAGAAAAATCTTACAAATAATTAAAAAAATTTGTTTGAACTCTATGTTACTTCTATCTCTCTGTCTATAAGAAGTAGAAAGCTGAAACCCAAGCGACTAAAAAAATTTCGATTCAATTCCTCACGCAAAAAGAACGATACAATTTGTAAAAGAATTACTGCTAAGTTGAATAATGTAACTTGGTTTCAATCTTTGTTACAAAGTTCAAATTCTACCGAAAAGAAAACTATATGAAAAGAATATCACTTGAAGAGAATCAAACTCATTAGAAAGCTTTCATTCTATTTTCACACGAATAATTATGTCCACTGAAAGTATTCATAATTATTTTTGTACAGTCACTATTTGCACGGCATGTGCTTGTTGAATTGAAAGATGAGAAAAAAAAAACTTAACTTTGTTTCTACAAATGCAAAAAAAAGTCCTTTTGCGTTTCTTCAACAAACAAGCATTTTTTTTTTCTTAAGAAATAATGTCATACTCTCTTTCCTCTTCTTACTGCATCCACCTCATCACATCAGAATTCTATTATTTTATCAAATGTCTCAAACATGCTCGATCGAGAAATGCTTCCGTACATCACGTGGACTGTGTGATTGTTGTCAGCAACATCTTTGTTTACAACATTTAAATGAACATAATGCTTCACTAATTTCTCAATTGAATCCTTTAACTGATGAAATTAATACACTTGAAGATCGTCTCAAAACATTAAATATACAAAAAATAATTGACAATAGTCGTCAAAAACTTAAACAATGGCGTCAAGATTGTCATAGAAGGATTGATTCTTATTTTGAACAAAAATGTCAAGAACTTGATCAACTTGTTAAAGAAAGAGTTGCCCAACGACAAGAAGAACTCAATCGAATACACTTGAAAATAGGTGAACTCATCAATACACAAGAAACAACTCGTCAAGATATCGATTCTTTAACATCAACTATTCGTCAACTCGAAACAAATATGAACAATACGGAACAAATATGTTTTACGATCAATGCTCGTCCATTATTAATCGATGATATGGTCGTCTTTATAGAGAAAACGACTGAACATGAACTTCATCTATCCACCCTTTCACCTGTCTACAGAACAGTTCTTCATCCAGAAGGAAGTTTTCAATCAGTAACTAGCAATGATCGACATTTATTGATGCATCAACATCCAAATTTATGCTTGCTTGATCGAGAAATGAACATAGTCAAACAAACATTATGGTCGTATAGTGAAATTTGGGATATGTGTTGGTCATCAACATTAGATCGATTCATTGTACTCGAAGAAAATGATATTTTTCTCATAAATGAAAATACAATGTCGATCGATAATGTGTACACAATCAAAGAACGAAGCTTTATGTCGTGTACATGTTCTGATACAGTGCTCTTTGTAAGCATCAATGAGTGGGGTTCAACTATTATAGAACTCACACTATTCCCGGCTATCGAAAGGATTAGAAAATGGAAATCTCCTCTCACATGTGCCAAAGATGAAGGTATCGACGGTATTGTTTACAATGACGGAAATCTTGGCCTAATGGTTAAAAATGCACTCAAGAAATCACTGCGCATTGAATTGAGACATGCGAAGACACTCGAACATATATGGTCGTTTCAACTCGACACTGCGTGCATCCAAAAAATAGCATTTCGTTGTTGTTCACTTCCTTGTAATGAATGGCTCATTGTGGAGTATGACACTGAACACCTGATTCAGGTTACAGCAGACGGAAAAATAAAGAAAACAATTATATATCATCCGAATCCATACCGTGCTACTTTGTTCGATCTAAATAAACTAGTTGTATCGACTATGAATGATGTTCGGCTACATATGATTGAATAAAATGAATGACAACTCTCGTTTACTATTTTTGCTTTGCTTTTCGATGAAGTACTCGAATGAAAAATAATTAATCTCATATTCCTGAAGTATAATTTAAAATTGATTTGATAATCGAGATGATCCAAGTTACAGTATTATTTATGTTTTCTTATATGCACATAAAACATTAGAATTCGTTGGCCAATCAAAATAGAAAAAAAGCTATATACTTGAATGTTTTAAATATAAATTTGATATCACGACGTGAAGAAAAAGTGTATTAGCGCAATCTCTGTGAGCTTAAAATATGACATACGTGTAACTGCTTTTGCTACTCACGGATATTGTTCAATTTTAGCTATCTGAGGATACATTTCTTTACCACACTTTTACCTTATCGTCTAGAAAAGCAAAAAGTAGTTCGTATATTCAAATGAGTTGCTATTTATCGACGTCTTCCAGTACATATGAATATATTCAGCCTTTTATTACGAAAGAAATCGTACGAATAAGCCTAATATAAATTATTAGAACAAAATCTCTAATTTCTCACAAGATACAACTCTGTAGCAGGGTAAGAAGTAGTTACATGTCAGACTAAAAAGAATCTAAAAGGATACCTACTCATAGCATTCTAGACAAAAATTAATATCATTTTATTAGATTTTGGCTATATTAGATAAAAACTGAATAAAAGAATTATAATCTATACTTTTATCCGCAGATAGATCTAATGATTCTTAGAATATTTTGCAAGTTTCAATCAAAGCAAATATTCCTTTTCTGTGTTGGAATGACTCTCTCACAATGTATACGAGTTTTCTTGAAACAGTTTCCCAATTAATATACCAGTGAAAATATTCATATCTATTGAAAGAAACTACATCAGTTTATAGTCTCATAGGTTTTTTTCTTAAATTAAGAACGTCTATACGCACGCATCATATCATTGAAAACACTGTGGGTTAAAGTCTTTTCTTACTAAAAAAACACTAAAAACAACAACTCAATTAATAATATAATAATTTTGATTATCATAGATAAAAAGTTCTCTTTTAGAAAAATATAATAGGGTGTGGGTGTGAGTGTTATCCATTATTTCGCCCACACTCACACCCTGGAAAATTTGCCGTAACATTATGCATTTGAGAACCAAAAAAGCTCGATTTAGTTTGTTAAGTCTTTTTAAAAAAATTCTCTTTTTGTGCATAATGAGCGCCTTCATATTTTCTTGATATTTCTCTCAATTTCTATTCTACAAATCTCTTTTCGATATTAAAAAGACTGCCGTGAAATTATTTATGCATTGCTATGAACATTTACTTCTATATTCAAGATTATTAAAAACAAATATCAATCACAGGACATACCAGTTCAGTAGAGCTTATTCGTGATTCAGCTGTTTTTATTTTGGTAATAGGGAATAGAATATTTCTTTGTAAAATTAAAAGATACAATTTCAATTTGTTGTTTGTTTTGGTAACGGTCAACATTTATTAATACTTTCAACACATAGTTGAATAATAGATCATTTATTATTTAATTAGTACTAAAGCTGGTGGATATTCATCGGTGAAGTTAATCCTATTCATTCATGAAAGTTTGAAGAATAAACGTTCCACTAAGAAAATTAATAATACAAGTAAATAAGAAAAAAATGAATATTTTGATTTTTGTCAAAGATTTTGCTTGAAATAGATTTTTTTCGAATGGAACAAATAATCATGTTGTCGCACATACTCTTACAACTCGAGATGATTACATGCAGAGCCTAGAAGATAATTAGGATTCTATAAAATTTATGCATATGGTAAAAATTTATGAATACAGAAATGAAAAAGAGTAAAGAAAAACATGAAATGCAAAGTCATTCATTTTATTGAATTGTATGTAGTCTAACATCCTCCATAGTTGATACAGCTAGCTTATTCAGGTCGAACAGAGTAGCACGGTAGGGAGCCGGATAATAACGAATTATTTTCTTCATTTTTCCATCTTTTGTAATGTGCAGCAGGCATCCAGCTTCGTAGTCGACAATCAGCCATTCATTACAAGGGAGTGAACAACAGCGAAATATTTTATTTTGGATCCATTTAATATCAGTTTCAAATGACCAAATGCGATCAAACGTCTTGACATATCTTAATTCAATGCGCACTAATTTTTCGGAGTTATTCATAACTATCAGAGCAAGATTTTCGTTGCTGTAAATGATATCAGCGATAAATTCGTTTTTGGTACATGTAAAAGGATATTTCCATTCTTTAATCAATTCAATTGTTGCTAATAATCTGAATTCCATAATAGATGAAGCACGTTCAATTATGGATGCAAACAGAACTGTATCAGAACATGTACACGATCCCCAGTCTCGTCCTTCAATTGTATGCACATTATCAATTGACATAGTATTTTCATCAATTAGAAAGATGTTATTTTTTCCAAGTACAATAAACCGATCTAATGTTGACGACCAGCACATGTCATGAATTCCACCATAAGACCATAAGGTTTGCTTGACTAAATTCATTTCTAGATCAAATAAACATAAATTGGGTTCTTGGTGTTTCAACAAATATCGATCATTGCCAGTTACTGATCCACAACTGCCCTTGGGACTAGTAATGGTTTTGTAGACAGGCCAAAGAGTTGACAGATCAAGTTCATGGTCAGTTGTTTTCCAAAACGAAACAAGCGTTTCATCTATTACTAATGGACGAGTATTGATCGTAAAACACTTTTGCTCGATGTTGTTTATATTTGTTTCCAATTGACGAATGGTTGATGTCAGTGAATCGATATTTTGTCGAGTTGTTTCTTGTCTATTTATCAGTTCAGTTATCTTCAGTTGTATTCGATTGATTTCTGTTCGTTGTTTGACAACTGTTTCATGAACAAGTTGATCAAGTTCTTGACATTTTTGTTCAACATAAGAATCAATCGTCTTATAACAATGTTGACGCCATTGTTCAAGTTTTAGACGACTATTGCTAATTGGTTTTTGAATATTTAGTGTTTGAAGACGATTCCCAAGTGCATTAATTTCATCAGCTAACGGATTCAGTTGAGAAATGAGTAAAGCATTATGTTCATTCAAATGTTGTAAACAAAGATTTTGCTGGCAACAATCACACAGTCCACGTGCTGTACGAACACATTGCTCGACCAGACATCGTTGAGACATTTGATGAAAAAAATAAAATTTTGATGTTCTACATCCAGTTGTCGTAGAAGGCAAAAATGAAATGTAATGTTATTTCTCAAGAAGAAAAACGATTTGTTTGCTGAAGAACCGCAAAAAATCATTGTTCTTCACGTTCGCATAATGAAGGTTAAGTTGTTTTATTATTCAACTTGAAATTCAATTAACAGACGCTGTAAGAATCGAGACTTGATAAGAATAACAATAATTACTTCAACTGGAGGTCCTTATTCGTCGCAAAATAGAATATTTATTTATTTTTTGAGAATATGATATAAAGACAAGAATCCATGTTTATCTGGTATTACATTGTGGATTATTTGTATAAAATGAGTTGCAGAAGAAATAGAAAATTTGATTGAACCACTATATTATCGATTTCTAAAGTAATCATCTTGTTCTGCTGTTGAAAAAATCATATACCTCCAATGAGCGCTCTTACAGCTTCGAAAGTCGATATTTGTCTAAAGTATCATGCTGCGCAGACCAAATTCGATCACAAAAATAAACAAAAACTGATTTAAAAAGTGAAATTTTTCTAACCAGGAGTCTTATTAGAACTATGAGTTTCTAAGAACATCAGCCATCATCTCTAGAAACGATGCATGAAATCAATTCTCTTTGTGTTATTTATTCAAAATATTCCTGATCTAAGAAAACAACACTGTAAACGATTGTAAAGGATACTAAAAGACGATGTTATGAACGACGAAATTATACCATTTTTTTTTCACAAAAATGTCTTTTTTAGTATGAAAAACCAAAGAAATTTAATTTTTAATACACCATTGGAGAGATCACTATGTATGCTACAAAAATCATTATTAAATGTGTTTTTCCCGTTACTCCTCTGATATCAAAAAATGAAATTAATGCTAATGAAGATGAGCATACAGGATATGATTGGTAAATTACTACAATTTTATGAAAATGTCGTATTAAATGATCAAACTCTATTTCCACACTGAAACTAATTATTGAATATAATTATATCAGATTTCTAGAAAGTAAATGTTCAACATATAAAAACAATGATGTCAAGAATTCATAAGGTCAAAACTGCTGAAGTCTATCATTAGTCAATAGAATTTTTCCGTAATACACTGCATCTGAGAATGAAAAAGTTCGATCTAGTTCGTGAAACTCTTTAAAGAAAAGATTATCTCTTTGCGTGATATCAACATTATATCGAAATAATAATGAATGAGTCACAATCAATCAGATTTTTTGTATTTTGTTGATATTTCGCTCAGTTTTTATTGTGCAGGCTTCTTTTTGACACCATATGGTGTGTGATGAAATTCTTGATGACTTGATATAAAAGCGTCCTCACTTCAGCTTGATAGATAAAATGGTGGAGAACTTATTGATAGAATTCACGGTCGGCGCGAAATAGTAATCAAGCAATCGCTACTAAAACAAGTGCAAAAGAATTCCTTTCCTGGTAATCGTTGACTTTTTTATTTCTTAAGAGAACGAAACGACATGTTATAACAATATGTCTTAAAATAGATCAAAAGTTGAATGAAAAATCTGGAATAAAGAAAAAAATTGATGTGAGTGTGGGTATGATTGAAGACAATACCGACACCGACACCGACACCCTTGGTGAATTTCCCGAGTAAGATTTTTCTCTAAACCATCATACATTTTTTCTTAGAATATGAAGAAAACATAACTTTATTGAGTAAATTTTTGTCGACATATCTTAGCCTTACAAGAGAACCTTTTGAGATACTAAAAAGCTTTTCATCCTACTTTTTTTGTGCATATGTTAAGAATTACTAGACTAGAAACATTCATACGCATATGGATGAAAGTTATAATTTGTCCGAGATATCAACTTTTGACCGAGAACTTTGTACTATGGAGAAGTAAATTAAGATAACTTGTATCGAAACTTTCAGAATTTTTGAGAGATCAAGTTTGCAAAACTTCGACACTTCTCTATAAAAGAACTTGGATAAACGAAAACTTAATTTCTTGAAAATGCAATGTTCAACACTTCTGCGATTTTTTACCACAGGATAGCCTAACGGATCCACTAAAAATTCGATATCTCAGAGAAATCACAATTTGCACTCATATGCTCTTTGTGTGTTTCTAGTCTAGTGATCCTTAACTTATGCATCTACTATTGTTAAAAGATAGAACAGGTCAGATGATATAAACTAGCAATAAATTATGTACAGTTGTTACAACTTTTGATGAAAAATACTGCAAAAATTTGTTTTTACATCTTTGAAAGATAGTCGAGTTGATGATGCCCAATTATAGCTTGCTTGACGTTGTATTCATCAAGCTCAACTATAACCATTTTTATATTAATTTGCAGAGAACTACCTTCATGTATTTTGGATTACGCAGTAAGAATGATACTAATTAATAAAATGCCTTTTGGATTTGAATCAAAATTCAGAAATAGATGATGATATTATAATAAGAATATACATGAAAAATTATTATTACAAAGTAAAGAGTAAGCAGCGGGTGTGGGTATGGGTGTGGCGGTGTGGGTGTGGGTGTGGGTGTGGGGTGTGGGTGTAGGTTTGGGTAGAAATGCATTTAGACTCATATTCCACATTTCACATCCACCCACACCACACCCACACCCCACCCACACCACACCCACACCCCACCCATACCACACCCACACCCCACCCACACCACACCCATACCACACCCACACCCTTCCAAATAAGATCAATCCATTTTTTACGAATTCTAGGACATGTTATCGTCGAATCATCGATTTTATCTTGTCTTGTTGAATTAAAAATAGTTACGATTCTCATAGTAATCATCATAATAATTACTAATACCAATTTATTTTGACAATTTTATTTTCAACTATCTAAACAATGGTCAAATATCGTAATCAATTCATATATAAAATGATACTTTAATCATTACTCATGAGTTTCCCAATATCAAAATGTAAAGGATGAACTTCCATCTACTGTCTGCAAATCATCTTCCAATATGGAATATATAAGTAGAATTGTTACATTTTCTTCAGCAATGAGAAAGGATTCCATTTGAAACACTGCTATGCGATTTCACCATTTTAAATGCTGATTTAATCGAAATGAACCGAATTCTACAAACTGAGTAGGTTCCATGCATGCTGCACGATCAAACAATCTAACAATGACACGATTTTGAATAAATTGTTTGTTTGTTGTAAATTGTAACTGTTTACAATTTGAAGGATCCAGTTGGAATGTTCATATACAACATTTACCTTTGAATCCAATTAGATTTAGTGTCGAAACTTGAAGTTTCAAACTATTTTCGTACAAAAAATCTTCAATACATGTAGTTGAAATGGACGCAATACAGGAATATAAGTTTGTGTTATAGATTTTATAAAGAAAATTGATTTGCTTATGCAGTTTTTTGGATCAATAAAGCATGGTTCTAACTTGCTGGCATGAGGATGAACACTTAATCGTTCGTATATACAATTCAATAAATGTAGATTTTGATGATTCATAGACTGATAGATGATATCACAACAATTTCGAATTTCAGCTGTAATTTTTAATTCCACAATAGCAACCAATGCTCAGTTACGTTCGAATACCAATGAGAATTTCTAAATATTTTCAGATTGTTTCCAGTAATCATAGATATGTAACATCACCTATAATAATCATGGTTGGAACCCCATATGTAAGAAAACAGTTTATTGAGTTTATTAGGCGTGTTTATCTGTCTTTGGCGTGTGTGGTTTCTTGTATTTTATAGTAATTATCTCATTCAGTCTGAGCTTTAATTTAGAATATTATTACGTTAAACTTCATAAAATAAAGAATTCAAATATTTTCATTATTTTTCTTTTGTACAACACGTTCTCTAAAGCACTAAATAACATTAATAATTTCGTATCTCAGCAGTAGCCGGAGCTGAACCCTTCTCAGAATTTTTTTCTGGTTCCGCTACTAACCCATACCCATCCCACACCTCATGTTCAATACCCAGCTTCCGCTGAAGAATCAAAACAGGTCATTAGTTGTAGAACTCGATGTGTTCGAACAGAAAATAAGAAGCGTATAAATCGTCTCGCATTCTTATCGTGTACTGATTTGCTTCAACTTCTGTATGAAGTAGGCAATATCTCTTTGGCTGACATGTTTGGTTTACTTCATACGACCCGATTCTTATGTAACATGGAATATGTTTGTCCACGGTGTTGCAATGATAAGGTGAATACACTCTCACGTTGTATTCATTTCGTTGTTTCACCTTGTGCAGTATTTATTTTAATACACGTTTTCGGTATTGCGAAGAGCAGATATAAGTGCATGACGAAAGAATTTATTTTCACATAAGAAACGACAAAAGTATCAAGCTACGTTAATTGGTGACTCGTTCGTCCATCTACTGTCTCTAATTACAACAGCTTTTCTGTATTGATGGCCTCTGTCCCTGCTGTTCTTCCACCGTTAACAACAGCAGAATACAAAGAGATTTATGCATTATTTCTTCCTCGTTACTATAATCGTGAAGCAGTGTTCGAATATATAGGAAAGTGTTTATCTCAAGTGACATCACCGGATGAAAGTGGCCTTCATGTTTTGATCGTCGGACCCGGTATGAAATCATTTAGAATTCCGTCATCCAAATTGAGCCTCTTTTTCTTCATTGATTATATAGATCTTGAACAACTTGACAGTCAATGCTTACCATCAGCCATCGAAAAATTAAGCACATCAATCATACTTCGTTTTGTTATTCGACACTTCAATATCCAATTTCAGCTGTCGAACGACGATCCTCAGAGATGTGTGCCTTGGCAACGAGTGTCTCAAATTTAGTCGACGATGAAATCCGTACAAAGGTCGAGAAATCAGATTCAGAGACAAAACATGTGCTCGTGCACATCCAATGATCTAACGCAAGAATTCGACAGAAATCACTTGAACCACGAGTTCGAAATATTTTGTTTTCGATGCCAATTGACGAAGATCGAGAGCAGC